TTCTCTAGATCTAGATCCCTGTCAATCGCGATTTTTGGTGAGATTTTGACTGGCCCACATACTGGGGTGGCCCGCTTACTGGTGAAACACGTTATGCTACGAAACTTTCCTCGACAGGGATGTGCTCGCGAGCGCTTGCCTATGGCTTTCATGCTACCACTGGATTTTTACTTTACATGTTGCAATGATATGAATGTTAGCGTTGATCTAAAACGTCTGTATTACGCCCAGCTGAGTGGTAGAGCTTGGCTATGAGGGGAAATATCGCGATATACGCGCAAAAACTCTTTCTTGTTGAATGATGATTATCAAGGACTATTGCTCGCTCCTCGTCAAGCTCGCTGTTTCATTCGTTCAGGTCGCTGTCGCTTCACATCGAGAGTATGAGTACGTGTTTCTTGCTTACTCGGATCCAGCCGCAAAGTATCTGCTTACTGGCAGAATTTTTATTATTACATACTGTGTCCCTTGTTGCAGCGTTTATTTTTCCCTGTGGTGATCATGGACAGGGGACTGTCAGCCGACCTGGTGTCCGGAACACGAGCTGGACTGGATACTTAGCATTTGACCACGCGACAAAGGCTGATGAAGCCGGATGCCCCTTTTAGCTTGCACTCCACGCATTTTGCTTCAGCTACGATGTACTTTTCCTGCGCCGGCGTTGCCCTTGTGTATGGCCGACCACCAAGACCATGCTCATTGATCGTATGGTGCAAAGCCGCCGCGTTGCCGCGGACCTGCACCGTCTCGTTCTTGTACCGGCCAAAATCCGAAATTTTGTAGATCCTATCTTCAGCTTACACCTAAGACCTCATTGTTCTAGAAAATGCCGCTTACAAGGTACGTATAGACATACATTTTTGACGTGATTGCGACGCCAAGTGGCCTCCTTTGCGTGGCACACCAGCGAGGTAAAACAGTCTGTCCGGCCAGGCCGGGAGTATTGATGGAGCACAGATATTGGGGAATAAGCTGGGTAAATGAGGGTGTGACCTAACGAAAGCATGGCCGACAAGTGCAGCTGCCGAACATAACACGCCCGTACTTGGTTGTTTCCAGCACTGTGGTTCCCATGAAACACTAGGCTGATTAGCTTGTTCCCGTGCCAACGCGAATAATCACTGCGAAGTGCTTCGATATGTCTAAAGTAAGTAATATGTGCGCTTCCCGTTTTCGCAGTTGCGACCTCTACATATGCATAGACCAAAAGACCAAGTCGGCGAACGTGACGAGCATTCAGCGCAGTGGGAAATGAACGGGCCTGGGCAGATCACTTTCTATTCATCTTTTGTGCATGCTTTCTGTGTCTCTTTTTTTGGTGCCGCTGCCCGTGTACTTTCCCTATGATTAGAGTTTCTCACTTTGTAGTGCGTTCCCCTTCAATCTCAACGTTGGCTCAAAAAAGATACCATTCAATGTCCATGCGACCAACCCCCAAGACGGAAAAAAGCTTCTGATTTGATGTGCGATTTTTCATGGCATGCCTACAAGTTCTGATACAGCGCTTCTTAGAGTTGTTCCTGTCTATGTGTGTATAGAGAGATCCACTTTGTCCGCACCATAATGGATCAAACTGTATGGAAAAATACGCTAAACTTTTACACAAGGGTAGGCCTGTGAGTCGTCACGGCGAAATGAGCCGCTCTGCTGTATTAATGTCACAATAATCAGCCAATCTCGCTGCATCTACATCTTCATTTGACTAGTTTCTCGGAATAATAAACCAATCACGAAGGGGCTTTGACTATGCTCGAAGTTTATTTACATGTTTTCTTTTTCAGATGAAGAAACACCAAAGCTAAGGCTATTGTGCTGCCCTTGCAATATCAAGCTGTAACCGCAATCATAATTGCAGAGACAGTGCTGCGCACTTAAGTACCTTTAGACCCACATCAGGACTAGCGTGATCTTCTATATGTGGTATCACGTCCTGGCTCAAGCTCGCGATACTGAACCCCAAGTTTCCTAGGCGAGGATCTGGTAGTTTTTGTAGGCGTGATACGCGCTGAGAAACCGAATGCAGCTGTAGTGTTTCTTACAACAGCAAGGGCCTGCCGAACTTGGCAAGCGGGAACTCAGGTTCTTGCGCCTTTTCTTTGTCTTCAACATGATGCATGTATTTCTGTTTTGACTGTTTGTTTTGGGGGCCAATTAAAGCTATGGTGATGCCATTTTGTCTGTTAAAATGATCCTCATGCCCATTCAATATTTTGCTACTTGCTTGTTGAAATCTTGTGTCGAGAAGAAACCTCACACAGCACACCAATATAGTTGAGGAAGAATACGATACCTTCGCGCTGAACTCCAGTTTAGTACACTACTCCACATCGACTTTGTTTAGGGGTCTCGTGCTCGCAAAGCAAACGAAGAGCAAGATACAACGTCACGTATTTTGAACATCCGATCTGCCGACCCAAACGAGATTTGACCTTTCCGCCTGGCTACCGAAGCTTTCCAATTTCTTCATCATGACGCCGTCTCAAAGCAGTCGCATCATCATCAATCCTACTGGAGACGCACTGATAACTTTAGAGAGCCCAGGAAAAGTCTTTGCTCTCTGGATAGAGCCCCTGGATACTTTAAGCGATTCAGAAGACATAGGCACCGAAGATTCAACTGAAGAACTCGACTATGAAGACCATAGCGATGGAGAGGAGATGCCGAATTGGATGAGGTGGGACGAATCAGACCCAGAATACGATGTGCAAGACCGACCCACGCATCAGGATGAGCCAATACCTTCTACAACTTCGGGAAGACGGATTCATGGAATTGTAGTGCCTTCTGAAGCAACCATTACAGTCAAACCAAGCTCTTCTCAGCCAATCTTTTACCAGGTTTCATCAGCGCATCTCATCACAGCATCCCCAAAATTCAGAAGTGAGCTCCTGGCCTCTAGAGACAACCAGAAAGATAGCAATAACCTCCATCATATCAAATGCTCAGACTGGGACCCTGAAGCATTCGAAATACTACTCAACACATTGCATACTCGCTACCGCCGAGTGCCAAAGCAGCTGAGTTTGGAAATGCTCGCTAAAATCGCCGTAATGGTCGATTACTACAAATGCTGGGAAGCTTTCGAACTGATATCTCAAACATGGATCAGACACATTCGCGTGTGCCACCCAATGCCTCAAACCTACAGCCGCGACCTAATGCTCTGGATGCTGGTCACATGGGTATTCAAACTACCGAAAGAATTTAGCAGGGCCACCGCTATAATGTTGCGACAATGTACGGAGTCAAAAATACAAGACATGGGGCTGGGAATTCCACCATCAATACTTCGTATGTTGTACCACAGCTGTGATAGTAGCATATTGCTCACATTAAACAGGGACGGTGGAAGTCCGACGTTCAGAAGCCATCGGGCAAATCATCGAGACATTCAACTGCTGGATCGATGAGTTCAGCGACACCTACAGGTGCCGGGTCGACGCAGACTTGTCCTTTGAGTGTAGCTCTATCTTACTTGGCGCGCTCATGAAGCAGATGCGAAATATCGATGTTCTATCACCTCAAGTCGTCGCGCCATTTGATGGGTTCAGTCTGGAGAAGGTCCATGAGAACATCAAAGCGATACAATCGCCGATTTGGGAAACGTACGATGGAGTTAATGAGCTTTATCCTATTAAGCATTCTTGCGGCTTTCAAGGCACGATTATAAGAGATGTTGGGCACATTATTGCGAGGGCGAAGGGGCTGGTGCTGAATGACTTTGTGGATTGCAGTGAGAATATGGAGGTTTTGAGTCTTCGTTGTCCATAGGCGCTATCGTGGAGAGCTTCTTTGTGTCCGCACTTCGGTATTTGGCTTTTGCTTCGTATATACCCACATTCACGAACATTTTTTTCTGGACAATAATAAACGAATATGATATGAAGATGTTAGTAGTCGTAGAGTTCTGTCAATCAAATATTGATGTCTTTCACTTTATTTGCGTTCCGTGATCGCCACATCATATGTTGCTGGCAATTTTGGTATGTCATTTCAATAAGGCTAAGCTAAAGGCTCCTTGATGTGTCTGCTGGTGGATCTGAATTAAACAGTTGCTAAAGTATCACCAAAAAGGTTGATGTCGTGCGAACACCGCAGTGAAGCCTGGGATGCCCAACCAGATCATCACTGTACTATTACATCAATCATGACGACTTCTATCATCTTATATCTCCTTTTTCCATTGGCAATATAAGTCTAGCTATCAGTTACAATTCTGCCAAAGCCTCTACGCTGTCACCTGGCTGTTAATCTCCGTTAGCTGGAAACTCTTACCTCACTGCTCTAGTGAGTGAGAGAACAAGGGACATTGTCCACTAGATATCGTGACCGCTATAACTGAGCCTGTCACTACAAGCATCCAGGAGTTCCTGGAATCCTCTTCTGTTAAAATCTTTTGGAGCCTTGTAATCCCCTGCACCAAGCGCCCAGCAGAATCAACATGCCGATACTCAAGAAGACTTCTGACGTCAAAAGCACTGGAATGATGAGTGCAAGGTAAGATATATCAAACATCAATACAATAAACATGGAATGCTCAAGTCAACTAGCGCTGCTGCCAAGTCGCATATCATTGTTGTCGACGTCGGACATGAAACGACAAGATATATTTTGCACAAGAAACTCTTAACTCAACACTCTGGACTGATCCGACACATGATATCTCAAGATCCCATCAGAAGATTTTTTGCCTTCCAAGATATCCGCACTGATGTGTTTGATGTCTTCGTGGACTGGCTGTATGAGAAGAAGCTGCCTCCATCTGCTCAAACTGTTGATGGTTGGCTCATATTCGATGTATACATGCTCGCAGACCGACTCTCTGTGATTCGCTTGAAGGTTACATTGATGACTACACTCTTTCGTGGGCTTTCTTCGCGTTACGTGACCAACGACACGGTCTGTAGGCTTTTTGCGGCTCTACCGAAGAGCGATCCATTGCCTCAGCTAGCTATGGATGCATTCTGTATCAACGATGCTACTAAGAACTTGGATGCAGAGAGTCTCGGCAGCATTGATAGCTAGCCAAAGCAATATCTGACCGGAATAATGCGCAAGTTTAATCAGCTAAGCCAACTGCCCGAGGAGGAGAGAAAACTCAGGCGTGAAGACTACAATATGGCAGCATGCTTCCCGGACTCGACTAGTTGAGATGAAGCGTGAGGGCCTTTCTAGCAATCAGAGGAGAACAGACTGAGCAGAAAGCTTGGTGAGTGAAGTTGGGCTTGAAACTACTACTTCACAGGAGAAGATGAAACTTATGAATCATTGTTTTTTTGGTATTTTAAGTGGAAGGAGATCAGAGGGAGAGACTTTGCACGGTTCAAGAATGGCTCTAGGTTCTTTTGGCGTTATGGGAGGAGTGAATAAGAAGTTGCTTTCTCACCGAGACCCCATTAGCGTGTGATGACATAAGTGAGGCTCCGCCGTCTTGGTTAGCGCCGCGCTCCGAGCTTCAGCAGCGCCATTCGTCATTTCCTATAAGCAACCCTACTTCCACCACAGGTACCGTTCCTTTAACATAACTCTTTACGGTCCAGACAAACGCTCTTGCATTAGCTTGCTGAGCTAAGAAATCCGTCACACAAGCACAAACACTGCGCGTTTGCAACCCAATCGAGTGCTTCAACTCCAGTAATTCACAGCGGTCTTGTAAGTCCATAGTTGACAAAGCTGGGCGCATGTGCTGACACGGCTCACAGCCAGCTTATATACCCTCCGCAGCAATCATGTCCGACGTCGAGGCCGAGCAGAAGCGCGAGGAGGATGAGCGTCTTGATACTGCAGAAGACCCAAACGAGGAGGTACGGTCTGAGCCCTTTCCTGCACGCGGAAGGCATTCGCCCAAGTTTGGCACAATGCGCGTGTCTGAATATTCACATCGCAAGTAAAGGCACTGACAACAGCGTACAGGAGGAAATCTCTGCAATGAGGCGCCGCGTTCAGGAGATGGAGGAAGAGGCACAGAAGTTGCGCCAAATGCAGCAGGCCATCGACAACGAACGGCACGAGATGCGCGAAAGCAAAGAAGATGTTGATGCGCGGAGCGTCTTTGTCGGCAACGTCGACTACGGAGCCAGCCCCGAAGAGATTCAGGCGCATTTCCAAAGCATCGGTAGCATCAACCGTGTCACCATTTTGTTAGACAAGTTCACAGGACATCCTAAAGGGTCAGTACTAAGAGGGGGTTTTCCTTGAAGATTTGCGCGTCCTTGAACTTTTGAGTCAATTGCGCGCAATTAGTTGGCGCAACGCCGGAATCGCCCGTCGCGTTGACTTAATTTCTGTCTCTGGACATTTACAAGATCGTTCTTTCGCTACCTGGCAAGAGTTTGGCAGAAAGATCGGAACGCTAATGAGCGTATGCAGGTATGCTTATGTGGAGTTCACAGAACCCCATTTGGTCAATGAGGCCCTGGTCCTTGACAACAGTCAATTTCGGAATCGCAACTTGAAGGTATGATTGCAGCAATGCGTCGCATGATGTTTTTCCAGATGCTAACTCTTCCGTAGGTTGTACCCAAGCGAACGAACCTCCCAGGTATGACGCGAGGCGGACGTGGTGGCCGAGGTGGCGGCCGAGGTGGCTACGGCGGACGTGGCTCGCCATACGGACGCGGTGGATTCAACAGTTATGGCGCTCCTCCTCGAGGAGGTGGTTATCGGGGCGGATACCGCGGAGGAAGAGGAGGTTCCGCGTACCGTCCTTACTAGAGTCGGGCAATAGCACACATGGATTTGTGTTGGGTTCTTAACCGTTTTATTGAAGGGAAGGTTCATAAAGGGGCACATGAAATTGGAACGGAGTCGCGGTGAAGCTTTGCAACAATAAAGGGCTTTGTACTATACCTCAAAAGGTCCACTGGGGGAGGACATGCTGCTTGGAATATGGCATCAGATTTGTCCTCATTTCCACCATCCGGACATAGTTTTCTTTCAAAGGAGCACGCAGTTTTAATAAATCTTTCGGTACCATCTGTTTGAGACATGGCATGATCTTGAGGTGAATGGCCAATTTGCAAGTCAATAGTGAATGCTATTTTGAAAGCAGGACGCTGTCAATGCAGGGAGAGACCAGGTATCGTAGCCTAAAAGGAGCTTTTTCTCCGCTTGCGCATCCTCTCGCTTTTGCGTATGATGCCCCCAGACGCCAGGACCCGTCATGGTAGCGTCAAGGATGCTCCACAATGATTGCGCCAATGCAAAGAAGCCAAACAAAAAATCCAAGAGCAGTTTCGCCTCATTCTCTGATCTCTCTAGTCGCTGGCTACAACCTTGTGTTCGAAGGTGCGGCTTGTCAGACCTCCGTATTCTTCGGTCGCTATGACGACGGTAAAGTGTCTGCCGTGGCCCTCGCAGCAGAAGAGGCACGCGCTACAAAAGCTGCTATTTCTTCAGCCTTCCTCAGCCATGCAGTGCCCTTTCACTCCTCTTTCCGCCGATGTGGTACGTCATAGCCGAGCTACTAGGGGGCTGGGTTCTCCTTGACGATCTGCCTGACTTTGCGCTCATATGCCGCCTTGTCCTTCTTGAACAGGTTGAATGCGTCGGCTTGTGCTGGCGACTCTGGGTTGGGCTCGTCGAGCAGCGACTGAATGCCCAGCAAGATCTCTTTGATATTTATCGCCGGCTTCCAGCCTTCTTCTTCGTTGAGGATGGAGAGGCAGACGGTGCCGGAGGGATAAACGTTGGGGTGGAATAGTGGTGGCACGAATTTACCTGCGGATTGACCCGTTAGCGGCAAGCTTTCAGCATATCAGGGCACCTGCGATTCTGCGGCTGAGTGCCTCGGACGGAAGAGGGGAAAGCGTACACTTTGGTGGCTTTGTTGGGTACTCATCTGGGAAGGTGACTTCCAGCTTGAACAAGCCGCCTTCCCAAATGGTCTTTTCCTTGCCTGGTACACCGCAATCCCACTTCTTAAGGTCCATCATGCCGTTGGCGCCACGCATGGGCTTTGCGAAAAAGCCAAAGGGATGATCCCGTCGCCATGACTTTCTGGTGCGCTGTCAGTAGGTAGTCAGGAAGCGGGTACGGCTGATTGCGCACCTCTCTTCTGAGAGCCGATTGATGCAGAGAGACATTGCAGGTGCGAGTGTGAGGCTGGAGTTTGCGCTTGAGCTGTCCTTTATCGGGGTCTATTCCGGGCGTTGACAAAGAAGGTGGTGTGTTTTTTGCGCAAGTTGTGAGCCGTCGATTGAAGAGTGTGCGGGCGTCGCAGTTATGTACAGGTGACAGTGGTGGTGAAGGCGAGCGAAAGCGGAACGAGACAAGGTGAAGTCGAGTTGCGGGTGCACGTGACGTGACAACAATTATCTTCCCCGGGGCGCGTCACAGCGTTGGGATTGTCGTCTCAGTGCTAGTCTAGATCCCGCTGGCAGCATTGGGAAGGTGCCATGGCCGATCTTGCCCCGCGCTAAACAGTGGCCCCCCCGCTTATGTGAGTGAGGGTACATACCGCTGGGCCAGCCGAGGCTGACGTTGCACATGCGTTTGGCTCATGCGTATTCTTTACCCTTGCCTCTCCACCTTGTATTCCCTATCTTTCACCTGGCACTGAGTGTGGGCAAGCATGGCGGACACGACTGTGAAGAAAGCAGAAGAGGCACAGCCGGCTAAAGCAACACCTGCCACCACTGCCCCTCCTCCACCCGAGGTTGCATCGGATCCCGAAGAAGACGACCTTTCTGACCTTGACGACGTACTGGATGAATTTGCGAACACCAAGCTTGATACCAAAGCACCGACGGCCTCATCAATAGAGGCTGCGTACCCCAAATCTGACAAGGCGCCCTCATCCTCCGGACCTGGCAGGCCGCCTGAAGATGTCTCACCAGCAGACCTGTTGCTTGATGACCAGGAAGAATTTCAGAAACAGTTACAAAAGGAAATGGAGCAGCTCCTTGGGCAAGGCGATTTCCAGAAGCAATTTGAAGAGATCATGAAGGAGATGAGTGAGGAGATGGGGGGCGCAAACCCTCTGGATGCTGGTGCACATGCGCATAGCGAAGGACAAAAGGCTGCGGGGGCACCTACTTCGTCTGAAAAGGAGACTGCTGCAAAAGCCGAGAAAAGCTTCCAAGAGACTATCAAAAAGACCATGGAACGCATGCAATCTTCGTCCGATACTGCCGCATCTGCCGCTGCATCCTCCTCTCAAGATGATATTCTCGCGCAAATGCTTGCGTCCATGGAGTCTGGTGGATTTGGCGGTGAAGGAGGCGACGAGGACTTCAGCAAAGTGCTGATGGGCATGATGGAGCAGCTTACGAACAAAGATATTTTGTACGAGCCAATGAAGGAACTCGACGATAAGTTCCCAAAGTGGATGGAAGAGAATAAGGCAAAAGTGGAGAAAGACGATTTGAAGAGATACGAGGAGCAGCAGACATTGGTCCGAGAGATCGTGGGCAGGTTTGAGAGAAAGGGCTATAGTGACGACAATGCACAAGATAGGGAATATATCGTTGAAAGGATGCAAAAGGTATGCTATCCCTTCCAGAATGCGCCTTTAATATATACTAATAGTCTACAGATGCAAGCCGCTGGCTCGCCGCCGCCGGATCTAGTCGGCGACATGAATGCAGCTCAAGAAGCACTGCAGGATATGGACCAGGGTTGCCCAACACAGTAGCCTCTCCTTGTGTGGTCGCCTGTCTGCCTCATTCTTCCCAGATACCCTTCCAGTATATAAATGATGCTTTCCCCGCCCGTTACACCCCTGACGCCGTATGACGAACGGTCTTATGGGTTATAGGTTGTATAATCAGATGAAGCTCAAAAATCCATCATATCAGTATCCATCATATCCTCATTTCCAAATCCATTCTGCACCGTCTGCGATGGCTGCTGTGACTGACTGTCCTCAGCCATTGCACACTCCATGAATATCGAGTCGTAGTCTTCATCGTCGCTACCGTAGTGATGTGGCTGCGCATCCGGTTCCTGCTCTATGGACGCGATCAACTGTTGAAGCTCGTACTCTTCTTGGGCGGCGATGTAGTCGGCCTCGGTCATGTCAGGGTCAAATTGCGGCGCGTTGCTGAACACGGTAGGTAATTGCGCGTCCTCGGAAGGTTCCTCGATAATGTCGTCATTTACTGGTGGTGCCTGACGCGCCTTCTCTGCTTCCCAGCGTTTGCGTTCTGTTACAAAATCCAGTTGTTGAATCTACGTCATCGGTTAGTTTTTTTTTTGGCTTCCTGGGAGTATCGTGTTCAGGTACATACCTGTTCGCCTCGTGACTCCCATTTCTTGTCGTCGCGGTTATTTTGCACCCGCTTGAAGAACATGTCTCTTCGTCTCTTCGTTGCTGCATCGCGCGTTTGCATAACTGGGTTGGACTTGAATGTGCGCTGTGGAGTTGTTGATTGTTCCTTGATGGGCGAAGACATTGTGAAGTCGAAGATTGGAGGTTGCGCGTTTCCGGAGCGCTCAGATAATGGTGACGAGCGTGGTGGCGTGTATGGAGAGCAATGCGCCATTTGGTGGGAAAAGAAAGACGTTGTGAGAAGCATTTTTTTTGGAGCGGCTTATCGTGCTCGTTGTATTCAGTTGGTTAGGTAGAAGATAAAGTGCAAACTGTAAAAAGTGACAATGTAGTTGTATGAGGGGTTTGGTGTGGATGTAGATGGGAGGCAAAGAAGGTGGAGCAGACGCGAAAGTACGCGCGACAGAGCCACGGTGGTCTGTGCACGCTATCGATAAGAACACGCTTAATGTTCCGCGCCGCGCCCAGACTGTACAAGGATGCCATCGATTCCTACTGACACAATTTAGATGAAAGAAATCTAGACTACATCTTGCTACAACCTTAGATCTAGCCCACGGAATCTGTCCCCACCGCCCTACTTTGTTGGCATTGGCATAAAATTCTGCCATCTGCTGGCAAGGCTCCTGGGGGCATAGGAAATTGTTGTGAAGCGACATACGTACATGATGTACATGACGAATAGGTATTAAAGGCCGTCAACAGGAATTGGTCTGACAATTAGTCAAAACGTGAGAGTTGAGTGGTCTTTGTATTGTGAAGGGTACATGCTGGTCTAATGGACAATACATAAGGATGTACATTTGTCGCAAATTCTGTTGCTAAGCTCTCGCGTGCTACACGCGCACACCCTAGGAGGCCGAAACATTTGCCGCATCTGCAACACACACACGCATCTATAAATGGCAGGTATAACTACTTGTGATTTTACTGACGTATGTATTGCTTATGGGCAGCATCTCGAACAATTGAACAGGGTACCAAAATTCGTCATGACGTCAGATCAGCCCTTCCAGGATCTACGGCACACCATTGTTCTACACGAGCCTATCACACAGCTTGCCACTGAAGAGCGTCGGCATATGGAGATGCATGATACAAATTGTGAATTGCCATGCTTACGCTAATTTCACCGATGTTGGACCCACCTGGGTTCAACTAGCCCGCCACAGTTCCCTCGACCAGACAGAATACGGCAATGCGCTAGTGCTTTGCAGTCTGCAGACCCGCCAGGCCACTGGTCGAGATGGTTCGTTTGGCGTGGCGACATGCAAACTTGCGACTTCACCCCACGATACCCGGGCAGTCGCTAAACCAGGTCGTCTCTGCACCTGCTCCAAACTTCAAAGAACGCAACATGGGTCTTAGCGAAGCTTGTACTAGATGTTACCTGCTCCCTGTGCCGCACTGAAGCACATCCATTATCATGAGTCAATCCCCAACCAGTCGCGGGGCTACGAAGAAGAGCCGCTACGACATGAAAAGAGAACGGGATGTTCGGCTTCACTATGGGGCCGCTTTTTGCAATATACCATACGTTGACAATCTGGCCGCTCATACCCCCCACCCATCTCACGACTCGACTCTGACGGCTTTGTGTCAGCTGACCGCTATCCGGATGGGAGGCCAGAGGGCCATGATCTCAATTCTCGAAGAGGAACGACAACATATCCTAGCGGAAGCTACCTGTGATTCCCCTCTCCGCCCAGATATACCGAAGGACGCGCGGGATTCGCTGTGGGCTGGAAGTGTTAGCATTCCTCGTAATATGGCATTATGCGAGAATGTATTGGATCTTAGTCGTGAGAATGATGTCTTGGTTATCAATGACCTTGCGGCATACAAAAAAACCGACCTTCAGGGTGCTATTTACAGCAACTCTGATGCGCGATTTTATGCCGGCATTGCACTCGTATCCCCAGACGACACAATAGTCGGGACGTTATGTATCTTCGACAACCAATCCCGGGACGGCCTGACCGGTGAACAACTTGGTATTTTCAAGGATCTGGCATCGACCATTATCGGGTACCTGAACACATACACAATCAGGGATCAGTACAGCCGAGGAGAAAGATTTACGCGCGGCCTCATCTCTTTCGCCGAAGGTGCAACAGCTCTATTGCCTTTTGAGCACAACGAACAGCAAATCTCATCATCGATATCTCAAGAATCTCCGGACCTTTCTTCGGAAACAAGAGAAGATCCTCTCGCTACACATGGCACGGGAAGAACAGGAGTGGATGATCCATCACCGAACAATTCGCCTTCTCCGATCCATAAGGCAACTACCGCGAGGTCTGCAAGGCATCAAGCAATAGGGTCACTTCAAGACTCTATTCTACCCGTGGACTCAAAATCAATGTTTTCCCGTGCGGCGAATGTCATGATGGCCTCGAGTAATTTGGATGGAGTACTTATACTAGATGCAAGCGTTGCAGCAAACGGAGGCCAACGGCGCAACAATGCCACTTCTCGAACCAGGAGCAGTGTCGATTCTCTATCCGAGTCTTACCAGTCGGCATCTTCTAGCGAGGGACCAAGTTCAAACAGCACAGAGAGTAGCTCGTACAATGCATCTTCTTCAAACTCCAAAACATGTAAGAGCGATTGTTCCATGGCTTAGGCGTAAAATGGTAGCTGATCTTACCCGGAAAATTATAGGCCAGTTGCTTGGAGTTGCTACTTCGAACGACAGAGACAAAACAGCATATGGGTCGTTGTTGGAGTCTGATCTTGCGCGTATGCTTCACGAATATCCACATGGCAAAATTTTCACTTTCACGGCCAGCGGTATCTTCGTATCCTCGGATGAGACCGCCTCGAGCCCTTATTTCGCGGAGAATTTACCCAGAGTGGCGTCTTCTAAACGACAAACAAAAAACTGGTCAAAGCGATGCTCGGAAGCAATCCAGACAATGTTTCCTGAAGCGGCTAGTGTTGCTTTTGTTCCATTCTGGGACTTTGAGAGGTCACGGTGGTTTGCAGGCTGTTTGTGTTGGAGCAACAACCCACGTCGCCTGCTGTCTCCCTCTGTTGATTTGGTTTATTTCAAGATTTTCAGCAATTCAATCATGAGGGAGTTGTCAAGACTGGATGCTATGGCTTTGGATCAGGTAAGATGAGACAGTTTGTATATGCTATATCAAAAGCTGTGAGCACATTCAAACAACTTAACATCACTATCTATCATGCATGCAGCTCATCTGTCTATCCTTGGCTAACAGTTTCTCTAGGCTAAAGCGACATTTGTAGCCTCTATATCTCACGAGTTACGATCTCCTCTGCATGGAATACTAGGCACATTGGAATTTTTCAAGGATACGCCTCTAGATTCATTTCAGGCCAGTATGCTCAATTCTTTGCATGGTTGCGGGATAACCCTGCTTGATACCATCAACCAAGTCATGGACTATGGCAAGATCAGTGAATCAAGAAACAGCATCTCTTCGAAACGAATAAAGAGTGAAAACACGATAAGGTTATCATGTAAACCGGTAAAGAGTAGAAGGAGGAAAGATCCCGCTTTTGATATTGGCACTGCGACAGAAGAAGCTGTAGAGGCTGTATTCATAGGGTCATCCTACATCCCTGTCACCGCTCAATACATCAAAGAACTTCCGTCTAGAATAGGGCATGAGTCGACTCCTCTTCCGAAACGCAAGGTACGCTTTGTCATACTTGAAGTGGCATATGAGGATGATTGGATGTTCTCTTTTCCAATCGGATCATGGAGAAGGATAGTTATGAACTTGTTGGGAAATGCTGTGAAGTACACAGAGTCAGGCTGTAAGTCAAATATTTCTCAGTTCATCAAGGGTATGGTAATCAACTGGGTTGGTTTTAAAGATGTGCTGTGGCAACAATGTAAACCAAACGCGTTCTCAGAAATTCTCACTCGTCGAGTGCCATGTCAACTTCCGCCACCGAAACAAACATTTGCTGTTTGGACCCTTCTCTTCTGAAATTTTTTTGCTAACATGCAGTTCTTAAATTAGATGTACACGTTTCCCTGCGGTCTAGTAAATCAGCGGAAGGCACCAATGCACCTACAACGATTATACTTACAATAACTGACACGGGCTTGGGAATGACTCCAAGTTTTCTTGCCAACAGAATGTTTGAACCCTTCTCTCAAGAAAATTCACATTCGCCTGGTACTGGACTAGGCCTGAGTATAGTACGACAAATCATTGACATGAGCGGCGGGAAGATTGAAGTCAGCAGCCAGCCGTCTATTGGCAGCAAAGTCACCGTCAAACTCGCACTTACTCAGCCGGAGTCCTCAGATTTGTTAATGGCCGAGCACAGACAGTTTCAATCGACCCTGTCAAGATTACGTGGTCACAGAATCTGCATACTTTTCAGGAAAACGAAAAGGTCCCCAGATGATGCTGATTACTCACAGGCTGAAGAGGGGCTTGTACGGTTCACTAATGCGCTCGCCAACACTCTCGAAAAGCACCTGAAGATGGACGTTGTAACGTCTACCGATTCGGAATACAACGGCGCAGATATTGTCATTTGCCCGGAAGTTTCCTTCGATTATCTCAACATTATTCGCCGCCGTAGGGCTCGTGATCAACGAGCTCCCGTCATTATATTCATTGGAATGGACGCACTTGAAGCAGCTACTCTTCGTTCAGATGTTCGCGTGACTTCCAAACAGTCTGTAGTTGAGATCACAACTCAGCCGTGAGCAGTATTATTCTTGTTTCAGAAGATTTGGCTAACTTGATCAGATGCGGGCCGCACAAATTGGCTTTTGTTCTTAATCGATGCTTGGATCGATACAATCAACCTGGTGATAATGTACAGCCTTCGAGGGCAGTCAGCCCGCTTCCCCAAACTGGAAGCCATGGAGTTGAAGAATCGAGCATTCCCATTCCGCCACCCAGCCCTACTCAACTGAATAATAGACCATTGCAAGTTAGACCTGCAGAGAATTCTGCTAAGGCCCCAGGCACAACGCCCACACCACAACCCGTACATATCCTACATCAGGAAGAAGACTTGGCCGCATCTCATATACTCATCGTCGATGACAATATGTTGAATCGGAGAGTAAGTGTCATCCTCTGTAAATCAGTGTTATTCTGACGATATTAGTTACTTGTGGCATTCATGAACAAGAATGGTTTACAGCACCAAGAAGCGTCAGACGGTCTCGAGGCACTGCGCAAGTACCAAGCAGACTCGCAAAAATTCGAGGTGATAATCATGGGTACGTAGCCCATCTTTGAAATATATCTGCAGTGACGCTTATGACATGGCAGACATGTCGATGCCAGTCATGGACGGTATGGCGGCTACTCGGGCCATCCGCGAATACGAGCAAACCCACAATTTGCCTCGCAGCTGCATTATCGCATTGACTGGCCTCGCATCTTCAAGCGCAAGGTTGGAAGCATGGAGCTCGGGCATCGACCACTACATCACCAAGCCTGTGAATTACAAGGAGCTTAGAGAGCTTTTGGAGAGCGAGAAATCGCGAAAGGATGGACGCCGGAAATCTGTAGAAGCGTCTGAGAAAGTACCTGAAGAGGCTGCAGAGAACGCGGCTTGATCATGAGCGATTGCGTCCTGTACTGATTCAAAGCAACAGCATCCAAGCCCTTGATTCTGAAAACACGGCCACTCTTGACATCCACCTGCGCAGCGCTTTCCAAGCTACACACTCTCCATCACAACTACCATCCACACAACTCACATAACTCAGTTTGGATAGAGCCCATTCCATTCAAGCGCCAACAACCAAACCTCCAGAAGCTTCAGTTGCTTACACCCCGCTATGCATCTCGCTGGGCTGAAGATGCATGACAGGGTATATGCAAACGGTTTCGTAAATAGAAGAATACGGTGCATCTTGCACAACTACATCAACTACTATGTACACATATATCGATCTGCTTCTTGTAGCGTTCTAGACACTTGTCTCTGCATGCACCGTTTGTACCGTTCACGCCACCCACTACTATGTCGCTTTTTTGCATGATATGGGTGGGCGAATCTACTTATCGATCCCCTTATCGTATCTTGTGGGTCGGCTCGGCGTTGGAATATTTAGCTTCACGCTACTTGCGCAGCTAGCAGTAAGCATTTTATAGACGCAGCTCCCAACATAACACGACCAAAGTAGCTTCTTCAACTTGCTTTTATTTTTATCATGATTATATTTTAAATAACTTCCTTTTCTTCCAACAAATCACCGATCGGGCTTGTGGTTTAGTGGTATAATACTCCCTTAGCATGGGAGTGGTCCGGGGTTCGATTCCCCGCGAGTCCATCTCTTTTTGCCCTTTCGCCGGCTTTTCTGATCTTTTTTTTTGCCTCGTTAAGCCTCTGTACTCTCTCTTTTTTTGCCTCTTCAATCGTTCGTGCCTTTTCTTTGCTGGCCTCAAGCTGCGTGTACACGTGAATTCCTGTGCGTGGTCATGCAATGCCAACAAAAAAGGCGTAGAAGTTATGAGTGCAGTTGAAGTCCTAGCCTTTTTTGTCTCGGGATTTAGCTTCAATGGTCATGGGAAAGAGGTAGATGATTAAAATAGATGGAATTGATCGGTATCTTGTCAAGAAAGAAGCGTTTTCATCTACAGACTCTCTCTCTCTATCTACTGGACAGCAACCTTATTCCACTTGAGCCCCTCAGTCAAACTGCCCATCCTAGCATCCCAACTATCCACATAATAATGATCCCTTGGCTTCCAAGGACCCGTGTTGGCACACTGGGGCATCTTTCTCGCATTGGCCTGGATATACGTGCTATTAAGCGGCGAGGCCGACATTGACTTCTCCTTCTCTGCATCCGTGATGACGGGCACAACGCTGGTGTGTCCGTTATCGCGCTGGTACTTGATGAGGCGGACATAAAGGCGAGACGCGGCGTCTGAGCCCAGGGTCCACGAAGCGTTCCAGTAGCCGATGATGTTGCCGAAGTTGGGGAGGGAGGTGAACATGCTTGCGCGCCACATGTATTGGGCGCCGAGATCGACGTGTTCGCCGTCGACGGTTGTTTGCATGCCGCCGAGAAAGCTGAGGTTGAGGCCTGTGGCGGTGATGATGATGTCTGCGTCGAGTTTATTGCCGCTGTTCAGCTCGATGCCGGTGGCGGTGACGGTCTTGATGGTGTCGGTTACGATGTGGGCTTTGCTGGAGCGGAAGGCTTTGAAGTAGTCGCCGTCCGGGCAGAGACACATGCGCTGTTGCCAGGGGTCGTAGGTGGGCTTGAAGTGGGGGTCGATAGGGAAGTCGGGGGGAAGCTGGGCGGCAGCTTGTTTGATGATGAGATTTCCGGCGGCGGAGGGGAACCATATGCAGAATTTGTAGAGGAGGATGGGGACGAGGGTGAACATGAAGCCTGGGACAAGTCAGCACTTGGGCGTACGTCAGGAAGGGGGGAAATTGGTGACGTACGCTTGTAGCGGAGGGTAATCCACTCGGGAGCATACTGCTCAACCCACGATTTCCTCTTTTGACCGATACTCATAATGTAGCTAGGGCTTCGCTGCAACTGTGTGACGCTTGCAGCCCCGCCGTCAACCAATGCAGGCAAGAGGGTAATAGTTGTTGCGCCAGATCCTATAATAACAATCTTCTTGTCTTTGTAGTCGAGATTCTCTGGCCAGAACTGTGGGTGTATTCCCTGTCCCTGGAAATTGTCGATGCCTGGTATGTCTGCCTTTAGAGGTTCGTCGTAGTTGTAATATCCGGTGCCCATGATCAGCCATGAAGTCCAGTAAGTGACTCTCCGGGGCTCTCGTCCGACGTCATTGCCGACTTCCACCTCGACTCTCCAGCGCTGCTCGTCGGTCCTCCAGTCAGCCGTCAAGACTTTGTGCTTGTACCGGATCTTCTTATCAATGTCGAATTTTTGCACCGTCTCCTTCAGATAGGCCATGATGGTCTCTCCTCTTGCAATGGGCTCCTTTTTGCGCCAGGGGTTGAATTGGAAGCCTAGCGTGTGCAGGTCCGAGTCGGAGCGCACACCGGGATACTTGAACTGCGACCATGTTCCACCGAGTTCGTGGCGCGCCTCGAGGATGGTGAATTTGACGTCTGGCAACGACTCCTGTATGCGGTAGGCGGCGTTGATACCGCTGATTCCGCCTCCAATGATCAATACATCAAAGTATGAGTCGATCATAGCGGGTAGCAAATGCGATGTGGTGGTGTGATGTGTGACACGGGCGGGTGAGCAGGTATGGGGTAAGACGGATTACAAGGCCAGGTATATGTATTGCTGTCGGGCGGTGAGGCCAGCCGGCATTGGCGTGTGTACAAAGGGGACCCCGTCTCCACAGTTTGGTATAGAGGCTTTGTTCATTGCTCCAGACTAAAACTGAGCAGATGCGGCGACCGAGCTCAAAATTGCTGTAATGCCGTCGCCCTTGTATTGTGGCTTTGACATTGGGTGGCATAATTACACGGTAACAATCTAACTAATTCAGGCAGGTATGCATGTCGGCGTCGGACTGGGGCTTCGCCAATGTCCCCATTGTGCAAAAGCGACTTCACTCCTCGGCGCCAGAACAAACTTTTGCCTCGTTGCCACCAGAATAACTCGATGCCGCAGCCTTATCGTGTGACTTGTCTGGTCATCGTCTTGTCAGATTAAACAAAAGCAGAGACAAGATTGGACACAGTCTCGGAAGTCTGGTCCAGGCAACCCAATCGATGAGGGGTTGTAAATATCATATCGTACCGTATCATTACAGTGGCTGTGATCCTCAACCCCCGACATGCGCATGGTGAGACGCCTGCGCCACACCCAGCGCGCCCCGCACCGCGTGCCCCACTCACAAGGCACAATCAGCTTCATCAGTCCGATATGATTGGGGCGGGCAATTTGTTTCTTTACGCCGTGCATTTGCATTCGAATACATCGCATTCACATTGGAAACCGCAGACGAATGAAAGACGTCATTTTTCTCTTTTTGCGCCGAGGCAAAATTTCTAGGCACAAGTCGTGGTTCCGGTCTGCGGCTTGAATGGTGCGCGCCCCTTACTGCAAAAAGCCTACGCCCGCATGTTGGCGAGCTCCGGTGCGGCTTCTTGCTTCCGCTGGCTTTGGATGTGATTGGGCGTTGCCTATTGATGGACTTTTGGTACCGCAATCTGGGCCGAATTCGTCTGCGTGGATGCGGTGATGTGCTAGCATGGACACGCAGTGGCGTCTTGTCAAGCTCAGGATGATCCTCCGCTAGTCGGACAAAGGTATCGCAAACTCAAGACTTCCGATGCCGACTGCCTCGGCATGGCCTTGTGACCATACGACAGCTCTGATTTGGCCAACAACTGCTATGTACTGCATTCACATGTCTCGCGCAACACTTGCCTCGATAGGTTAGCGTACATAAACACACACGCATATGCGGGGATATAGTATAAGACTGAAGATGGTATCATTCGATTAACGAGAATAAAGCACTCTATTGAGCATTTAGTTCAAGCAAAACCCCGCCCGCTACAAACTCCAATCTCTATAGCGTCTGCTTTCCTCTTGTCTCAATCGGCAAGATCAGCATGCTGAAGAATGCCGCGATGAACAAACCACCACTTGCGTAGATGGGCGCCTTGGGGTTGCCGCTACTAGCGAAAATGGCGACAATGGGGGCGCACAATCCAGCAACTCGGTTTAAGAAACTGCTGATACCAGTGCCAGTTCCGCGAATGGGGCCAGGGAAAACTTCGGGAGTGTATGCATATAGCACACCGTACATGATGTTTTGGAAAAAGGCTTCCAAGCAAGTAAATGCAAGCTGAAAGTCAGAGTCGCTCGAGATTGTGAACAGGAAGACAAAGACGCCAGTAATGACGGTCGCAATGGCCATTGTTCCCTTGCGGCCCAGGAACTTCACCTCAACAGCATAGCATGCCAAGAACGATCCAGGAACACCAACAATGGCAGTAATGGCATAGTTGCGGTACACGGTGCTGACGTCATTTTCTACTTCGCCTCCAGAGTTGGCCAGATATTGTGGCAGGAAGGCGTTGAACAGCGGGTAGGCCATGCCGATAGTAGTCCATTGAAACCACAGGAGTACGGTCGTCAATCCAAGTTTCTTGTCCTGGAAGAGGATCTTGAAGCGGGCAAAGGAAAAGCGACTGATGGAGCGCTTGATGATTTCAAAGCTGCTGAGTTTGGCATCCTCGCCAGTCACTTCTTGGTCGCCTCCAATGTAGTTGAGAATGTCCTCGGTAAGCCAGGTGTGCGTCTTGTTGCAATGCGCGATTCCGTAGACGGTTGCTACAGCCTCAGCCTGGCGGCCGCGTGAGAGCAGGAACTTGGGCGACTCATAGAGATGGAAGAAGAAGAAACGCGAGATGAACATGACGAAGGTGATGGCTCCAAGTGTCAGGATTAGGTATCTCCACCCCATGTTGTCTGACATTTTACACTGTCCAACAGGAGTGGCGGCAGCGCAGGAAAAGTTGGGAATGAACGCCCATGCGACTAGAACAGATTAGCGTTGTACACCGGACAGCAGTGTGCTCGACTTACGCAGCGAGGCAATCAGGTTACCAATAGGCCAGAAGACAGAAAGAAGTGTCAATAGATTTCCAGATGTTTGTGGGAGAAACTCCAAAAAGAGTGCCCCATCAACAGGAAGATTACCACCGACACCAAGTCCGATACAAGCGTAGAGAGCGCATGTGCCGATCCAGTTGGGACCACCGCCCGAGGCGAGACCAAAGGCACCGGCAAGGAAAAGAGTAAAGTTGAATGCAACACGACGACCAATGATGTCTGAAGCGGTACCCCAGAATGATGCACCGATGCAGAGACCGAGGAAGAGCGCTAGTGTGGTATATCGGACTTCGCTCTCACTGACACCAAACTCAACCGAGAGTTGCGGTAGCGTGAGTGCAACACCCTTGACAATGGTAAGCCATGACAAATGCCAAATTGTATAATGTACACACCTGTAACCATAGGTTGTCTGCCATCCATCCACATCCAGCCAGGATAAAAAGCTTCCATTGGTAGCGGCCCATGCCCATATCGCCCAGGGCTCGATTGATGACCTTGGACTTGCCTAGGAGGATTTAGTAAGTGCTGATCATTCCAAAACTGCTAGATAATCTGGCAGTTTAAAGCAGTTCAACATACGGTCATATGGGGTGTCGGTGCCCGAGGCGGCGACATCTGCTTCGATTTCTGCCTTGAGTGCTGCGAGAGTCATTCCATGGTTAACAACACCACTCGATGCATCACTTTCGGGGCGCGCAGGTTTATCGTCTTTGGAGCTTTTTTCAGAGGGCGCAGGGGAGTTGCTCTGGCGGTCGTGGTGAGTGGGGCCGCTGTGGACTGATTCTTCAAGAGGTACATGGACGCCGGGGAATTCATCCACACTGTGCGTCTTGAAGGGATTTATAAACATTGTTCGAGGCATATTGATGTAGTGAGGGTGCTGCTTGGAGGATAAAGGGTCGTGGGGGAGTAGTTGCTTGGGTTTGGCGCAATGGTATTGGGGTTGGTAGCAATGGGACAGTCGCAGGTGGGATGATCGTGCTCTGGGTCGTCGTTACCTCAATAAAGAGGCCGAGTCGTGGGGTTGCTGGGACTCGGTGGTGGTGATGGCGGTAGTGGCGTGTGGGTAGTGGCGTATGTTGATCCTTCACGGTGGCTTCACCCAAGCATAGGATGCTGGAGGCTTGTGAGGCTTGGAAATGCTTGTATATTTATATGGCAAGCTTCCACAACAGCGAGGCCGTGGGGAGTAAAGGGAAAAGTAGCGAGTAAACTCCATGACAGACGTGGAGAAGAGGTCCTCATATACCATTGCGAAGGCCCTGGTGCCTGGCCTAAGTCAGAATCTTTTGCAATAGACGCAGGGAGTGGAGAGTGTTCGGTGAAATGCGCCAAGGAGGTGGCTCTCAGCGCGCGCGATGACATCATGTCTAGCGGGTCCAACGTCGAGCCATCGCATTTCTCTTCCCTTGAGTGCAGACATCAGCCAACCCTGCAGCTGTCTTTTGCTGCGCCAGTTTAGTCGGCCGTTTAGCGGGCACATCGTTCTCTGTGCCCTTGAGCCCTACGTAGGTTGAACAGAAAACGGACACGCCGTCTCGTGTCCCCTGGGCTGACTACTGGCTACCCGTCACCTTATGTGCAATGACAGCACCTTGTCACGCAAACTAAGGCCCATGGTTCGCCCATGTGTGTCGGCAATGCTTAGAAGAAAACGCAATCAGACGCTCTTGAGTGAGTTCAGATGGTGTCGTATCATATCGTATCCAGATTTGTTCCCGTACGTGAGATTGATCTGTGGCGGCTCCAGAAAATTTTGCCGCGTCCCGAAACACGACTAACAGTATTCGTTACGTTTTAGTTGCTTTGGCTTCGCACACGCGAAAAGGGTAAAGAAACCGTCCAACTCCACTTGGAAGTGCCGGCAGGCGTGGGCCATCAATCTAACCGTGTACCGTGGGTAAGCGCGGGGGGAGTGGTGGCTCTTCATCGCCTGTCTCCATAAAGCATGCCATTCCTGGGGCCGACTCCAGTTCCCCGGGCAGGGCCGAAGTTCAATCTTGAGACGGGATCGACATAAAAGTGTCCGGTGCACTTTGTAAATTTTCAGGGAAAAAAAAGCCGGAGGCACTGTTTTGCCGTTGGGGTCGTTGCCGCTGATCACGACGGTAGAGGAAAGCAGACCCTTTGACCCCACAGCCATCACTCACTTTCATTTCTGACTGTCGACAAATCAAGAATTAGAGCCAAGCCGGAGCGAGATTGTCATGTGGATCTACGTAGCACAAGAGTCTAGGGATGTTGTATCGATCGGAAGCAGAAGCAATATCACGCGACGTCCCACCCCGGGTAACCCCGATCCATGTCTACATATGGACAGTACGTTGTCAATGTTGTAAACCGACTATGCGTACAGATAGTCCCTCTCACATAAGGAGTCTTTGTTGAAATTTGCGATATAGTTTATTTGTGGTGTAAAGCAAATTAAAGGCAACGGCAATGGACCAATTGGAAGTGAGACCTGCTGCAAGAAACACTTGGCAGGCATCCGCCTCACACGATAACTAGATGTACCGCGATAACCCGATGTGCCTGAGGATTTAATAACGCCCAAGTTCTTACGAACGTACAAGTCAACGCACAAGTGCTCGTATAGCAGCAGACCAGCTCAACTCAATTTGCTATACTACTCGCTTTGGCTAATTCATCTCAATTGCCTTGTTTCCGAAATACCTGTACATAGACACATGTGTCCTTAACGTTGAAACCCCTTACTTCTATAAAAGGTGTTGTTGCGTCAGAACCGGTCCCTCGGGGACTGAGTGTGCTCCCTAACCTGGGCTCCGCGGCAGTCGCAATCATATTAAAACCTGGCTTACCCCGGACACCTTCGCGTGGTTTGAAACATGAGGATGCTAAATCGACTACTATTATATGCTGCACTAAGTATTTCAGTGTTGAAAGAAAGCCTTGTCGTTAGCTCAATCAACTGCATCCCTCCAATCGCGATGTCACCTTCACACCCCGCTCGACTTCCGCAGTCCTCGTGACCCCCAACCGTTTTACTCTTTTCTATCTCAGCACCGAAGTAAGTCTCGTCACCTTCAAAAAACATACCACCGCCTACCCTGCCGTAAACGATTGTCTCTCTCTCTCTCTCTCTATACGGAACGAAGTCTTGACCTGAACATGTCAACCTCTTGTAACGCCGCATTGGAGATTTGAACAATGGAAAGGAACACGCGCACAGGTGCATTGATCAATATAAGGAGACCTCATCTCTCCTTGACGCTTCAAGTCACGTCATTTACACATCAAGAATGCTGGAAGTGAAGGCGACCAAGATAAGGCCGATGACAATGGCGGCGCCGCGCAACAATCTTCACGGAGAAACCAACAAGTCGCATGTCTAAGCTAAACGTGCATCAAAAAGAGACGACTAAGGCCATACATCCTAGCTACGCAAATCCGAAACAGCAAACAGTTGGCGTCTTGTCTTCCGTGCCCATCCTCGGGTGCGATGACATACCCCAATTTTAAACTCGGTTTGCTGCTAAACCGAAGGAATGCCCGAAGCACAGCATTCTCGTTGCAGAATGAATTGCGCATTACCGCAAGGGAGTAGAGCGCAATACGTCACCATTTTCCTCAACAAACCTGGCCATAAATAAGATGGACAAAGAAAAGGCAATGTCAAATGCTGGGGTTGGAGTGGTGCAGCTGCCGCCTGTCTGTCATTGGTCTGGCAAACTGGGCCGACTGGGCGGTGTGGATGTGGCAAGCGCAATGATTGGACGGATCCGGGTCCCGGTCGAATCCGGGAACCGCATCAACATAAGACGAGGTACTTGTCACCTTCTTGTCTACCTGTTCTCCTCCAATATCCTCAGAGCCACAAGTGAGCGAGTGAGGTGAGTACAACAATCTTTTATTGCATGGTTCATTCAAAGAAGTGTGTGTGTATGAGCTGCGTCGATGGTGCCAACAGCTGCATCAGCGCAGTTCGCCACAATTTCACACCTTGTTGCGACAACTACTAATCTTCCTTTTCAGGCTCATTGTCAGCGCAACCTAGAAGTCTATTTGTTTACAAAGGCACCAATACACGACTCACAATTGCTGAATGCACAACACCTTCACGACACCCTCTTTTCCATCTGTCATGGCATAGAGCTTTATCCACTCTCAATCCTGTATCTTCCAGAAGCCTTATCAGTCCGTTGATACTCTAGCCTCGAGGACCCTGCCCCGTCGTGTCAGAAGTACTATGTCCTCCGCTCTGTGCATATGCATTGAGATGCAAGTCATGCCAAGCCCATATCTGCTCCATACCACCCATATCAACGGCACTAGGATCGCCGACGCTGCCGAACGGATTTTGCGCCAGAAATTGATCAATGTCGAATGAGAGAGCATCCTGGATGGGCATCGTTGTAAGGGCTCCAGTTGCAGGAACTGATGGCTGGCTGACTGCTTCCAAAATTGGCGGTGGCCGGTACGGCAATGGCAACCCTGGTGGGCGCGTCATAGCCGCCGGCGCCGGCTCGTGAGGCGGCGGCGATCCCTTGGATATAGGGATACCATATTGCTTCTGTCGCTTACCGATTGGCAAATGCCGCCGAAGCGAGGGCGTTGCCTGCACGAGTTTGAAGAGGAAGTTGTACGAAGTTGCGCCTAGTTTCGTGGACAAGCTCAGTTGATACAACCTATCGAGCGAACTATCAATGACGTCCATGACCTCATCGCGATGAGGTAGCATATGATCGCGGTCATGGATAATGGCAGAGCAAAGTAAAGTCGCGGTATCGAAAATGCAGAACACGACTGTATGGAATTTCGCGTTAATGGGAAACCCATGATCAAACAGTTTGCGTGCAACCTCAAGCAGACGGAGCGCGATCTTGATCCCCTTCTTTCGGAACTCGTCATCCTGGTCGCTGAGCTTGTCTTCTTGCTCGCGCGTAAGATATGTCTTGAAGAAGTCGAGCATTGTCAAGAAGATGATGCAGTGCAACTGGTGTCGCTGGAACACAAAGTATGGATGCGCCTCGTCGAATGAAGTATCGGGGTTCTCAACACGAAAAATCGCGGGCAGTTCGTCAATGAACTTATAACACTCGTCTTCAATCTCCAAGACCTTCAGAGCAGAAAGATCGGCTTTGGACGTCGCATCGCCCATCACAGTTGCCACTCTTCGACCCAGGTGTGCTTGCAGAGCCATGTGTGCGAAAGGTGAAAGAACATTCGGTTCTGTATTCGATTGGTCGAGCCGCAGGTTGGGAAACTTGAAAGAAAGATTCTTTTGGTTGATGAGGTTTGGTCGACCTAGCCACGCTGACATCTGCCTGACAGACTTTAGTAACCGAATTGTTCCATCACATCTCTTTACTCACCAATCCCATATGTAAAGAAGAGTCCAGATTCGCCTTCTTATTTCTATATCAAACTCCGACAACTCATCAATACCCGCATCCCCATCCATACCCAATTCTTGCGCCTCGCGAATAGCACGTGAAAGGGTATGCCACGATTCGACGATTTTCGATTCCGATTTCAGCCAGGCGCACTTCAGGAACTGTTCCTCCACCCGCTCAATACTTGTCCTCGATGCTTCAAAGCTCCTGCTCAGTTCCTCTGCTGCGGCCGAGAAACGTTCGGTGAGCGTTTGTGAAGTACATGCCAGTTCGAACTCAATCATCTTGCGAAGCGACGGTGTCAGATATTGCACAGAGTATGCACATATCCGTAAGAGTAGGCATGTGAACTCGGGGGAAAGCTGTTTGGCGGCACTACGATCGGCCCACCATTGAACATATTGCTCTGCCAATGACGGCCCGTATATTACACTATAACGGTAGTTTACCGTGTTCAGGAAGTGGTTGACGATGGCATCTGCATTCAGTCAGTAGTGCCGTGAACGTGGCAATGCTTGCACATACCGGTTATGGACCTTGGAGGAACAGCATGCAGCACCTTCTGCACAGCGTCGCATGCTATGACTTGTGTCGGAGAGAGCTTAGGCGAGCTCTGCGAGGACTACCGGTCAGCATGGCTTCTCGGTCGAGGCGAGCAACTGACATTATCTTCACTACTTCGAACCTTGTAATGGACATGACCTGGCATATACCCCCACACCTTCAGCCCATCTTCAAGTTCCTCATGCTCGCCGTTTTGTTTGACAAAATGCGGCTTTGCCGAATCCGGGGCACTTCTCTTGACGCCCTGGGTATTACTGGACGAACTTGCGCTGTAAAGTTGCTATTACCGCCGGATTCTGCCAATCGGGGGGCAGAGGAAAGAAGGATCAACATACCGTGCGGATTCGAGCGAGGGCTCTTGCTGAGCTCGCTTTACAGAGAACTGACATAGCTGTGGCACCTTCCTGGCCTGACAATGGTTGCATGGCCACTCTCGCGAACACTAGCCCTGCCGTTAATCCACGGAGCTTGATGCAGGGTTGGTCTGGGGTAGGAGAGTCAGACCTTTTGCTTCCGACGCTGGCACTCCGTGCACGACATCGCCGCACGGTTCTCTTTCTGCGGCTGCATTCTTCAGCAACTACGTCACATGAGAGAGAAAATAGCGCAACTGATGCTCCCCGAAAGTCCTGATGAAAACACCCCGATACTCAGACGAGCACTTTGGTGTTGTTGACGTTACGAGCCAAGTCTTTAACATCATCCCACCAAACCCACCCGGAGCCGCTCCGCCACCTCCGTGGGCCGAACGTCTCAGATCCAGATTTCTTGTCCCTAACTCCTCAACCAATCACGTGTACAGTTGTGGCAAATACCTTCTCCTTCGACAAGCTTTCCGATTCGTCTGACAATGTCGCGATTCCAAATCTGCTAGCACATTCAATATAGCTGGCTATCCAAGAAGACATGCAAAGCAGAATTCATTGTTCCCGCCAGGATTTTCCTATTCACCTCGATCTTGAGCGCCGTGGCTTGCCTGTCATATCCATCGTATCCATACAGTTTTTTGCCGATCAGCTGAGTCATGCCGTCCAGCATCAGCCCTCGCCGACCGCACTCGAGGAGGCATCAATGACTGCTGCATTTGACAGCTACGGCCAGTCTTCCCGAAGGACCTTCCCGATTGGTCAACAATCAGAGGGATAGCTATCCCATCTCGGCAGTGTATCCATGATATGCCTTCACCAATGGCTACTGGAAATGTAGGTAAAAGGATGACTTCCAACACGTGAAAGAGGAGCGTGTCGCATCAGTGCATAGCTATGTACCATGCCAAGCGGGTAAAGACGAGAGCTCTCTGCGCCCTGCGACATTTTTTTGCTTTTTTTATCAATATTTTCATGAACACATCTATTCTCCCATAAAAAGTGTAAGAAGACTGTCATTTCCTTTCCCCTTCTATTCCAAGCAGATCCCTACTCTGTACAATGGCAATGGTGAGGGGTTGGGCGAGCCCCCTCCAAGCCGTCCGGCTCCTACAGGATTCTCAGCTTCTTCAGCTGAGATGAAGCCGCCAAGACCTGAGGTAAACACTTGAGCCAATTAACCCAATCCGACACACAAATGTACAGGGTTTTTTCGCCACGCCGGCTTGTATTGCAGTACTTGGCACATATGTGCAGCACACACACGCACACACACACACAACTTGCAAATCAATGCTCTCATGCAACCGATAAAACCGGAAAATGGCGGTCTCTCTAAGCTGTGCAAAACAATTCAAAATTCTTGCTAATGCATAGTGCATATTGTCATGGACATATATTAGTTGTCATTGATAGCTAGTTCGAGTACGAAGTAGCATCCACTTGTGATGTTCCGGTCATATCACTTGCATGAGAGAATATTCCTTTGACAAACTTTAAAAGACAATATCCAAAAAAAAGTTTAATTATTAATATCATTTTCAACATATACAGCGTACATGGCACTTATTTCTCTCGGTGGAGATATCCGTGTTTTGAAGTTTTTGCTTTTCTTCTAACTTTTCGAAAAGACATTGTGGAACGAAAAGGGGGAAATATATATATATAAGACAAATTACATATTCAGAGCGGAATTTCCGCAAACACCTTATGATGGCTGATGGCTTTACGCCTTGGGCTGCTCAGGCTCATCACTTGTCCTGTTCATCTTGCGAATGTGCTCCTCGCCAGTGATGCTCTCATCACCCATATCCCAGTCCTGCGCCAGATCCTCGAGCGTCCTGCGCTTGGTCTCTGGGATAAGGAGCGTGGTGAAGATACCGGCGAACATGAATGCAGAGAAGATCTGCATGACGTGGTTGAGCCACGGGCTGGGGTTGGCCTTGGTAGGCTGGCCGCGTGTTCGCAGCGGGGCAATGGCGCCCTGAGCGATGATGGAACCAATCTTTCCTGAGCCGGCGGAGATACCGTGGGAGGTAGAGCGGTAGCGGGTAGGGAAGCACTCTCCTGGGACGATAAAGGTAGTTGTGTTGGGTCCCCAGTTGAAGAAGAGCTGGATGAGGACGTAGATGGCAAGCATGGCATGGTTGCTGAGGTGCTTGTAGGCGAAACCCTGAGATGATGTTAGTTTCAATGCTCTTTTTCAAAATTGATGGAGGAGTGTTTTTTCGTGGATGTGTAAACGTACCCAGATGACAAAGAGAATAGTGAGGAGAGTAAAGCCAATAAGTTGAAGTGGCTTGCGACCAACAGTGTCAATGGTTGCGACTGCCATCCAGTAACCCGGAATGGCACCGGCGCAGATAAGAATGGCGTTACCAGCAGCAAGGTTGTAGAGCTTGTGGTACAAGTTTTCACCACTGGCGTAGCCGATAGCCTGCAATACAGTCGAAGAGTTCAAACCAAGGCCATAGAAGGCGACATCAAGAAGGAGCCATGACATGGCAGTTCCAAAGAGAATCTTGCCGTTGCGAAGCTTTCCGTAGAACCTGAAGAAGTCCTTGAAGGAAGCTTTGGGAACTTCGAGCTGGGCAGCGGACTGTTGGCGGGCAGTGACTTGAGTGATCTCGTCGACATTGCCCTCGCCGTGCTTGCCAGAAAGGTATTGCTTCGCATCCTCGTTTGCCTTCTCGACATCACGAGCGACATCGAAGGTGTAGCGAGGGGTCTCAGGGATGGTGAGGCGGTAGTAGAGGGCAATGCAGGCAGGGACAATACCGAGACCGATGAGAGCACGCCACATTTTATCAACAGCGACCTGGCAGTCACCAGTGCAGGCATCGTAGCCACTGGCCTCGACAAGCTTGCTCTTGAAACCAGCGACGAGGCACAGCATGACAAGAGCACCGCCAAGCTGACCGAAACCCTGCATGGCGAAGACAGCACCCATCATAGCACCACGCCACTTGGTAGTAGCGAACTCGGAAGTGATGATGGAAGATAGTGGGTAGTCACCACCGATACCTTGGTAATGGTTAGTAGTGAAGGATAAAAGTTATAAGAGAGAAATACCAATGCCCATGAGCACACGCCAGAAGATGATGAGACCAACGACCGAAGTTCCCGGACCAGGACCAACCAGAGATTGTGCGAGGGTTGCAACAATGATCAAGATCAACTCAAGACCATACATCTTCTTACGACCAACGATATCAGCAAGCGCACCGAAGCCAACTTGTCCGATGACCGTGCCAGCCGAAGTGGCTAGCTTGATGGCCGTATCTTGCTGGGTCAAAAGAGTACCCTTGTGGTCCTGCTTGTAGACGATACCCAGCATGATGGTCAAGAGAGATACACAGAAAATGTCGTAGCTGTCTGTGAAGAAACCAGTACCAGCGACCAGAATGGCGCGTACATGGTACCAGCCGAAGGGAGCCTTGTCGATCTCGGCGAGAGCAAGACGTCGGCGCTCATTTGGGTCTTCAATATGCTACTCTAGGTCAGTGTCTTGCTGGGAAATGAGGTTGGCATATAGTAGGTGTACGAACAGCAAAGTCACTGCGATGGTTGTTAGCAAGAGAAGCATTTCAAGGGGGGAAAGGTGCAGGAGCCGTACTTGTTGAAGTTGTGGAAGGCGGAATTGCCGCCAGCCGTCTTTGCCGCCATTTCGAAGTCTTAGCAAGTGCTTATGCTGGCCTTGACGAAGCTTGGTACCGCAAAAGACGGGTGAGCAAGATGAGGGCTGATTGCCAAAACAACCGGCCAAGCCTTGTACTTATACCCAAGCTCTCTTGTTAGGATGCGCGGCATGCTTATGTTACAAAGTGAGCACTAAGCCGTAACCAATCTCAGCGTCAGATTAGAGCACGCGCGGAAGGTTTGCCAAGGTGTCCTCGGGCATGCCGCTGCAAAAGGCGAGAAAAAAAGCCATGTTGCAAATCCAGGCCCCGGTATGGCACTCCGTGTCAGTGAATGGCGCAGCCGCTGAGGCGTTTGCTGGGATTCCCGTATCCTGGTAGTTGAGCCGGTGGGGTGAGGGCGTGTGGGCTATGGGTGTTGTAGTCCATTCATTTCCCCACGTGGCCGCTAGCAATGCTTGGCCAGAACACTGTCTCCAACCACAATGCCTTTGCCACAGCATGGGGCGGAGGCTTATTTACAGCCCAGGCCTGCGACAAGGAAGCTTCGGGCTATTGGCATTTGCTTCAGACGCAGACGTAGCCATGACATGCTTAGCACATGGTTGATCCCGTATTGACAAGTAACGCGTGTTTCGTCAATGGCGCATCTTAGCATCCTCAATTTCCCCTTCTCCTTCTTAGTCCACTACTGCACAGCTCTCTGATGCCGCATCCAGATCAACGACCCAGCCGAGCCCACTCTTTTGCGGGTTAGGCAGCCTGACCTCAGGGTTGTCTGTGGGACTCGCATATCCGGCGGGTTAAGAACTAATAACCTTTACTGCCCCACGTCCCGGTATCATGGTCCCACGGGCCCGGGCATCCTCTCCTAATTGGATGCTGCCAAGACGTCCTTGGCAAGGTGGGTCGTCAGCGCCGGAGTGTTCCTCCATAAGGGTAGCAGGGCGGGATCATGCTGCACTTCTCGAATGTCTGGCATGAAATGCTATTGGGGCTTGGGCGAGTATGAGGATCCTACTTACGCAGTAGCATGTTCCACAATTATCGTGCCCAATCACGCCGCTGCACGTGGGACGTAGCTGAGTTACCGAATATCTGAATCTGCCGTACTATCACACGACAGCTGACCATATTGCCCATCGCCCCTGTGGAAGCATGTCTTCCGAAGCTGCAATAGTTTAGTTCTATGCAATCAGCCATCCGAGAACCGAGTTGTTGGGCTTGGCGCCTTTTTAGCTGCCGCCAATGAGCCGCTCAGAATGACCGAATCCAAGTATCCGCATCTGATCCATTCCCTTTCTCCTTTCACTTCGTCACCTTCCGATGCCCTTGGAAAAAAATCAGACTGTGGAAACAACAGACTTTCGGCCTCCAGCTTTTAGTCTTGATTCGTTCATGAGGTCTTAGCAAGGGAAAGCCTCCGGGCAGTCAGCATGCACTCTTCTTGTGAGCCCATTTTTTTGACTGGCCAGTCCAGGGATAGTTAGAGAACATAGTCTTGCTTTCTTTGTTGGATCTTCTTTCCCAGGTGAATAGTCTTCTTTCATATGGGCCATGTTGAATTACATGTCTGCTCTTCGGTTCCGAAAGAGAGGAGGATCGGACTCTTCTTTGGGCGAAGTCCCCACGAACGCGTCATTCCCCCAGAAATTTTAGCTTCCTAATGTCCCGATTCCCCGTGCCTCCGTTCTGAATCTCTACCTAGGCTGATGAGGCATTTGTCAGAGTACAGGGTAGACGGGTCTATCACATCGGTGCAGTTGTATGCAGAGCCTTCGAGCCCAATGTACACCCCATTCGTGACATACTTTGGCTCTGCTGATGTTTCAAGAGCTTGCTCTGAGTATGTTGAGTGGGGGACGGTGGGCTATTAGTGTCGCGGTTTGTAATGGAATCGCCTGTAATAGGTTCAGACAAGAAGCGCAATGACCGAGATAACATCGGCTACCTCTATGATGACTATGAAGCCAGATGGAGTGAAGTGAGGCAAAGTTTACCGGACTATCGAGAACGCTTGTTCTCTTTGTGAATTGGGCCGCACGTGAGTTCTTGCCTTGATTCGCTGTGGCGTACGTGGCATTCACGCTAAAGAGAAAGAGAAAGAGAAAACGGACTGATGCCAGTGTGGTTGACCAGGGTTGATTAACGAGCAGGGTGTGGAGTTATTGTGGCATGCACATGCGTGCAGCGTGCCTTCTCATTCGACCCCACCTTCCCAATCTACTGAGGCATTCGACCCTCTCACCTACTCAACTATTCACTTCCGAGCGTCTCCGTTTCTTTAACCACGATCGATATTGAGTATCTCTCATATGCAGCGCTCGCAGCCATGAAGAAAGGATCACCGTCTCATCCATATTGACATTGAAGCTCCGCTGCCCACCCACAAACTGCCTAAGAAGCAAGACTTCGAACACTTTTGTCACTAACGGCGGTCCCATCTCACTCACTCCCCTCTCAACATAACGACCTCGCCTTCCACCGAACTATCACTACTAACATACACTCTCCCCCACCTATCCACCGCCAGGCCCACAGGTCGAAAACAGCTTGTCTTCGAACACGTATCTACACGCCCATTCCACAAGACATCTTCCCACGCCTCAGGAGCGTTGCTTCCTCGAGTCGGTCCAAAACCTCCATCTGCCAGCCCAAATGGCACCTGAATGACCTTGAATCCCACGGGCGGATCACGATTCCAGCTCCCGTGAAGAGTGACGTATAGAGCAGAAAACCCCGCGTTAAACTTTGCATCAAGCGGTGTCGAATGTGCGGGAAACGCAATCCGAGGCGCTACACTACGTTCTCTGCATGTGGTATCTGTAAAGGTGGCATTGGGCTCCAATACAAACTGGTCACCTATAGTAAAGTTTCCTCCGGGGATAGTTGAGGGAGAGAAGACGGTGAAACAAGTAGGATAGCCGTACCAATCCTTGTTTTCGCGAGATGGGTCGCCGATGTAGTTGAGCTCATCGGCGGGGTTGTCATTGTGAATGTCCGTTGAGACGCCATTGATAGTGCGGCGCAGTTCGTCGGCGGAGTTTTCAACGCCCCAGAGGTGCGATGATGTGTCGAAGGCGAGACCGACTTCGTTGCGAAGACCGTAGCCGAGTTGGGTGCCGGAAGTGGTATAGTCATAGCCATTCAGAGGTATGGTTGTTGTGTTGAAGACCTTGATGCAAGCGCGCCCAGTTTTGATATCAATGGAGCCATAATCGATGTTGCCGTTGGAGCCGTGAGAAACAAGGAGCAGGTCTGGATGTTTTGGTGGGGTGGCAAGGGATCGTGTGAGATGACCTCCGGTATCCATACCTGTTACTATCGTTGTCGAGTTCTCTGACACACGCATTGTCGCTGTATCATATGCCCAAGCAAACACCCTGGTCGCAGAACTGGCATACAGCGTCTTGCCGTCCTGGCTAAACACGATACCATGATTGAGATCCCGCTGTGCGATCACTATCTTGGAAGGCTCGAGACATCCATTTAGCAACATCTTATGCGCAGTGATGCCAACCCCATTTTGAACCACCAGGAGATTCCCAGAACTGTCGAAGCTAAGTCCTCGCGGCTGCGTCAAACCACCCGCAACTTTTGTAGCTTTCCAGCCTTTAGCGGTGTTCACAGGGAATGCAAAATTGGGGACACCATCGCAAGACGTAGGGATGCTCGTGTGAACTGGTTCGCTCAACTTTGAAGTAGTCGCATCCGCAACTGTGCTTGTTAGGAGCGCTGTATGATTTGAAATAGGCAGTGGAGTTCGTGCATATACTGTAATTGGCTTAGACTTTGCAATGAGTTGGCGATGATGAACCACGTACTAATGCTTGGAAAGATTGCTAGCCCTAGTTTGAATAGTCGCATAATAGGCGACGGGATATTCGCTTCGAGGGTGTTTCTTTTCTTGTAGTTTACACCAGGGTTTTTTGAATGGCTAGTAGAACATCTACCTTGTACTTGGATGCATTCGAAGATTTATGGGTGATGGTTACGCTCAGCATGACGGGCAGAGACATATGCACTATATCTACAGCGCCTGCTCCATCTAGTCCATATTACACAGTGAATTTGTATTTCATCTTACCTTGTAGAGTGTAGAATGATGTGCCGCTCATGTTATGTGGAGGTTGTGGGGCTAAAGACACCATGATGTGTTATGCTTACCGAACGTGTACTTCGTTGCCGCAGCTGGAACATGTTTCCAAGAAGAAGTTACTTTATCATTTTCTGTACCGGGAAATACCTTCTTTGAGGTTACCTCAATTTTGAATCGTCATTTGTCATGCCTTGAACTATATCCCAAGACAAATATCATAGTAACTGGGTAGAGAGTCCCAAAGACGTCCCCACATGAACTATAGAGAATTCTGGGTTGTTGTGGTTCATCAAAGTGGGAAATGTGATGAGAGCGTAGTTGCCGATTTTCATGTTGTGTGCTAATGCGGGAAATTTGGCAGAATAGGGGTATGCATGGCTGGTTAAATGAATCAGTGACTTTAGCCTTAGGAAATGAGTGGTATCCGAGTGATGATAACATCAATTGCGGTGTACAAGTATAATTGTATATTGTCAAATTGATCATGATCCAAAAGATGATGATCACTGTCATTCCAGTGGGGCGATTGTGGAAAGCAAGTGTCGTAATGTGGGCAAAGATATCCATATTGTCTCCTTATCGTGCACACGTGACCCGTTAAATAAAAGTATCTTCCCTATTGCATACACTTGAGCAATGATAGACCTTTCTCGTTGTCGCATTCAATCGTAAATGGTCACCAACACAATCCTGCACGTTTTATCATGTCAGTCCTCGAATAGGAAGTTGCTGAAAGCGAGTCATAGACAGACGATAAGCAATGGATGGATTGCGGCATGGGCCATCTCCGCTTCCCCACGTTCTCCGCACTTGGGATACCGAGGCTTGAATCCCTCTGCGCCACCGAACTTGATGCTGTTCATACCACGGGAACATGTCGTGCTGCAATTTTCTCGTCGTCGAGCACTTTGATTGTTCCAGAAGTTGCGTCTGAATTGCAAAATAGTCCTACAGCCTCATTTTTGTCGGCCTACCTGAACATCCCTCATAATGGTACTGGGTCCTTACACCAACCTACGCGTCGAACGCTACGACAGCATTTTTGTCATTACGCTCGCCAAAGCACCCGAGAACCGCATCAATGTTGCTTTTGCGCAAGAAATAATACGCGCGCTACGTGATATCGAGAGCGAGCTCGGGCCCGACGCAGAGGGCTGTGTCATTACAAAAGGCGCCGACGAAAAGTTCTGGTGCACAGGTCTAGATCTGGATGAGAACGAGACGAATCCGCATGCTAATACCGACGGCTTCTTCCCGCTGCTGGCTACACTACTCGACTATCCGTTCCCGACCATCGCACTGATTACAGGGCACACATTTGGCGGCGCATGTCCATTGGCACTGGCGCATGATTACCGCATCATGAACTCGCAGCGCGGCTTCTTTTCCATGCCGCCAGTCAACCTTGGACTGCATTTTCCGGGCATTGGGTACCTACCAAGGCTGAAACTCAGCCCGCAGATTGCGCGTAAGATGCTGCTCGAGGCGCATCGGTGGACGGGCAAGGAAGCATACAAGGATGGCATAGTGGATGAAATTGCAGAGCCAAAAGACATGCTAGATGTCGCGTTGACGAAGGCAAGAGAAATACAAGGGCGGGCCAAAATGGGTGTGTACAGTTTGCTGAGAAATGAATTGTGGGGCGAGGCTGCTGAAAAGATTAGGAGCATTTGTTATGTACATGGGAGGAGAGTGATACCGCCTGCAAAGGCAAAGATCTGACTTAGTACCAATTGATATGTGTGCACGTCCGATACCAGATCTATGGCCAATTAAAAGCACGTGGATCAAGCACGGTTTTGGCAAACAAACATTGGTGAATGATAGTTAGGTTTATGTATTCTCATGACAATATGTACAGTTGAAAGTTCAAAATCTACATAGATACACCGAAAGTTTAGGCCGGGCAACAAATTTCACGACCCCAGCCATAGAATCCTTTCTAGTAGGTAGGCTCAAGAGGAGGATCGGCGTTCTTGACAAGCATCTGAACGTAGTCGTCGAACCAAGCACCAGCAACAGGCGCACCAGCCAGACCGCAGGCTCCGTCACTCTCACCACCGGGCTTGATCCAGACAATCGAGTCGACGTTGGTGTTGTTTGGTGCAGGTCCAGGGCGCAGTCCAAAGCCAGAGGGCGAAACGTTGCACCACTCGCCCCACTCCTTGCGAGCACCGGGGAGGGCAACACGGCCTTGGTCGATGATGAAGTTGGTTGGCATGCCCTCAGCGGCCATTGCCGCCCCAAGAGAGGTAGCGTAGTGGCTCTCATCCCATGATGGAGACCATTCGGTGTAGTTCTCGCGGACCTTCGCGTTGAAAGGGTTGTAGTTGGATACATTGGTAGAGTAACCACGGATCTTGGCCGCTGGGTTGATCTTCTTGGCCGCTTCGACAACTCTGGCAAAAATCTGGGCTGTGGGTTTCAAGTTGTCAGCCCATCCAAGCCAGCCTCCGTGGGCAGCATCCATGTATAGGGATACATTGGGGAACTGGAGCTTGGCAATGGCGTAAGCAATACCTTGCTCGTAGATGGGGGTGGCGTTGGCGCAGAAGGGAACACCTTGGTTGGTGACGGCGTTGCCGAGCGAGTCGGGTTCGAGGACAATGGCGAAGTCGAGATCCTTGGCTTCAGATACGAGCTGTGCGTATTTGTCGACGAATTCGTGCTTGTAGATGTTCAGACCGTCTTTGGCAGAGCTGAGTTCTCCGGCAGACTCTCCAGCAGAGCAGTCACGGTCGGGGAGGTTGTAAAGGACAAGGCCGACAATCATCCTCTTTCGGCCCTTTCGCTGACGGCGGGCTTGTTCGATGGCTTCGGGGATCTGGCTTAGGCCAGCGCGCGAGGTAACCCATACGAAGGTGGATGTCTTTTTGGCAACAGTGCGGGTTCGGGCTGCGTTGAGGGGGTCGTTCTTTGCTAGGAAGGAGGCAATGGTTTGGTCGAGCTTCTTGCCGTACCTCTCAACGACGTAGCGGTCCTTGCCAATCCATGGGTTGACAGTGGTATTTCTGGGCTCTGGTTTGGGGAATGCAGTGGCGGCGCCAGCAAGAGCGGCGGTGGCCAAAACGAACTGTGTGACTTGAACCATGATTGATGAGAGCTTGAGAACAGATGGAGAACTCCTGTGTGCTTGCTGAGGAGTACAACGGATAGGTATCTCAAGCCTTTTATAGATTTAGAGATGAAATTGGCAAGTTGCGGGTAACATGCATGTTGTCATGTGCTCCATCTCCAGATGTTTCCCTTGGTACAGGCACTTACATTCAGGTGGCGGACTTGACGTTTGATAGCCGGTACCGTCGGGCCGCAATATGGAGGACATTATTCCTGAATAGGTCCAAGTCTTGGTGTGAGTGAAGGCCTATCTTTCGCGCTGTGACAGTCTAACGCTGCTAGTGCGCTTCATCACCTGGGAACATCTTTTAGCGAGAGAATGAAATGGTTGTTTGTCCCGGAGCAGGACGTTTTCCCGCTATGGCATATTAGCCAAGATGGTATTGACCAGGGTAGGACGCAGACCTGTAATATATTGCGCGGTTCACCCGGCTTGCTACACCACTTTCCGGCAACCCAGCCACGTGGTTCTTTATATATGTAATTATGAAATGGGTTTGCAGATTGGTCAATACTGTCAAACTAACATAATTCATATTGTTCAGAGAGTGCTGCGCAGCTCTTGGGCCATTCCGTCCTGCAGGCGACCATTGAAATGTAATGTAGAGAAAATTCGGTGCAGATTCTAGTGCATCAATGAGCGGCTGTACCCTGAGGCTGAGTTGGAGTGAGATGGCGCTATGCATGTGATGCAGGTACGCCAAAGTCTGTTCGGATAAAAACATAAGCAGGCGATATCTTGCATAGCAGATCCCACTAGGTGAGATATTCGAAAGACATGCGCCATGCGCTATGCGAGCACGCAAGCCCTCATCTAATTCACCTCCGCGTCTGAGATTTGCTCTACATATGGATGTATATGTATTATATACCACAGCCTGGGATACAGGATTCTCACAACACTTCTCGGAGGGCAGTGAAAACTATTCCGCGGCGGGTTGGTTTGTTGGTTTCCGGCAAAGCAACGAAACCTTTCATTGGTGCCTGTACCGCCACAGAACGGCAGCGTTGCAGGGCAACGGTGATACAAAGAAAAGATGATTGCATCGCCCCACCGTTGCAAAAGAGTGGGGAACCCCCATTCAGGACCGGTCAGGATCACGCTATGGACGAAAGAGGCGTTGGAGCGACTGTCAGGTGTCTTGGCTTAACATCGGCCAGTTTACGGGGCCCACTTTCTCCTCGCCCTTGTGAATAGCTGTCTCATGTTTCCTTGGGGTGTCCAGCATTTCGGAACATCATAATCAGCCTTCCCCGCTCTGGTACAACATTGAATCTGTGAAACAAAATCACGCCGCTTATTCCGGACCATAAGAACCATAAATGCTTTTTCAATAAATTTGCGCAGGCGCTCAACCTTTCATGAACCAAGTCATACTTTAGAGTCTTGGAAAACCGGTGCCATGGGCTATCATAAGAGAATTTCATTTCGAAAATTACCAGCGGTCATATAGAAACTCAGATTGCGTGGTTGGATTTGGCGGCATAACCATGAAAGCAGGGCATCTTGTCAATTCTACCAGAGCACGACGATCCGTCCAAGATACTCTCCGCCTCGGCATTCTTGGGAGAGCTACTGGTCCAAGATACACACATCAAAGCCTTAGACGCCAATTTACTTATAATCACAATACAGGAACATCCTATTAGATCTCAGTAAACCCTAGCCGATGTAGGTAGGTACGAGAAATCTTGTGTGGAGTATGGGAGATGCGTGCATGTACTCGGCAGCTGCTGATGGGTACTACTAAGCGTAGAGCGTAAGCGTAAGCGTAAGCGTAAAACACCCAACAAGGATACAATTGCTCACATGTTTACTGCTACCACAAAACGCTCGCGAGTCGATACATCTTAGTCAACCAACTGCCTGTAAAGTGAGTAGTCAGAAGTGCAACTCCCAGCTTAGTGCCTTTCACATATGATAGAGCAAGAATTTCTTCCATCATGGAACATGAGGATACTATTCGTGTTAGGATGTAACGCATTTCACCAAGGTTGTAGCGCGTCATAAAGTCTAAGGATATTCTATTTTTGCTTTTCCTCTGGAGTTTCTGGCGTCCGTGTGTCAACATTGTTCAAATGTCGCTGTTAGAACGATCAGAATTAATAACTTGGATTGCCATATTATCATAGTGATTATGGTCAGCCACATGTCCTCTCGCCAGATCATATGCCCGAGGAGAGGTACACTAGCAAGCAAACATTCAATCGTGACGTATTCTTCCCCAGAAACAAGCATAATACCTTGCGCTGCGAGTATGTACATCTTGCGTTGGCCCATGGGAGTGTATTTCTCTTATAAGATGATCATGGCTGCACATGAACCGCCCGACATGCTTTTGAAGATAACATTGCACCAGGAAAAACTTATGTAAGTACATGGGATGCTTGAACGGATGCAACGACACTCGGGATGACGATACCCAGTAAGTGTTCAGTCCAACACCACAGGGCTCGGCCGAGCGCCACCGGCAGGTACTAGCGTCGGTGGTTTAATGCCCCCGCATACTTCGTATACTACCCGTGGGGTGACCACGACTCACACTGCAACCTCGTCAGCCCCTCAAGATTAGCCAAGCACTCACTCACTACTTTCAGCGTCCGTTTCTTGCTTGAATACTAAGCATGAGTACTGACCCGCAGCCGGCGCGTTTTGTGCACCCCAGCAGACGAAGGGACAAGCCCATCTTGAGCTGTACTCTTTGTCGGCGACGCAAGTGAGTGCTTCGGAACTACGTAGTGCACACAGCTATGTCGACCTATACTAACATGTTGGAGATTGAAATGCGATCGTCAACAGCCATGCAAGACTTGTGTCGATCGTGGGCTTACACTGTCATGCACATATGTGCGTAATACACCAACACCAAAAGAACCCAAAATCCCACACAGTGTACATGATCGCATCAATCAGCTCGAGAAGCTTGTGACCAACCTCATGAGCGGTAAAGATGCCAATCACGTCTCACCCACTCCAAGCCACACGCAACAGCAGCAGGACCATAGCTCCCACGAGGTGCCAGGGACTCCGGACCGTGTCAAGATCAACGACGAAACTACGAGTTATACAAACAGCGACCATTGGACAACCATTCTCGATGGGGTGAGCCTCTTTCTATATGGCCGTGTACCCTCCGCTGAGCATACTCCAGATCTCGGAATTACGTGAGCATCTCGACCAAATTCCCACATCATCTGATGCAAGATGTGACGAATCAGAAGAGGCGTCTCGCCCAGAAATCCTATTTGGACGGCAAAGGTTTGCAACTAAAGAAGATATACTAGCAGCAATGCCGCCACGGCTTGAGGTAGATCAGTTAGTCGAGACCTTTTTTACAACAATGGATACTCATGCAAGTAAGTCGGTAGCTATCAAGAAAAAAATCAACATACTAAGTAAACAAGCTTTTCTGCACAGGCCGACATTTATCAAGCAAGCAAGTCTCCCGTGAACGCACCGGGCTTGCCGAGTCGAAAAACTAACATTGTTTAGTACGAAAACTTCTGGCTGAATCCATTTGAAACACCTACCATGTGGGTGGGACTTCTCTACGCTATTCTTGCCACTGGTGCTCGATTCCAGGCGACTTTCGATTGGCACATGTCAAACGGCGTTGGCCTTGGGTCTAATCATACCCATAGTCTATACTTGGCACGTACAAACTTTTATCGTGAGAAATCCGTACAGTGTATGATCCTTGCCAACTATACGAAATGCCCACCGGCCACGATGGAAACGTTTTTGCTTTACTGGGCCAGCGAGTTCTCACGCTCCACCGATGCTCAGTTTAGTTCATACATGGTCGTCGGCATGCTCATAAGACTATCGTTTCGTATGGGACTACATAGGGACCCGTCAAGGTTTCCCAACATCTCAACTTTTGAAGGCGAAATGCGAAGACGCAGGTGGATTTCGATTGTGTCTCTTGATCTCATCTCATCAGCACAGTTGGGGCTGCCAAGAATGATCCAACCGTATATGTACGACACCCAAGAGCCTCGGAACCTGAACGAGGAAGACATCCATGAGAACATGACGGAACTACCACCTTCAAGACCAGAAGCAGAATTCACACAGCTACTCTATTTCATTCTTTTGACCAGAATTCGAAAGCTCCAAGCACAGACTCTGGACTTGATAGAAGCCACACCGCAGCCACCATACAAGACCATAATCGACATCGATGCAGCGCTGAGATCTATCTACAGCAAAATCCCCAAGAGCCTCGAAATCAAGAGTTCAGGAAAAGCTAGTGCTCCCTTGAGATGGAGCTTGATGCGCTATACCTACTTGGAGTTGGCCTATCTGAAGGCTCAAGTGATGTTGCATCGTCCGTATCTCAAGCTTGGAAGAGTTGACAAGCTCTACGAATACTCGCGGAAGGTTTGTCTGAATGCTGCAATAGAATTGCTTGCATTCCAAAAAAAGCTAGATACGGACATTCGGCCTGGGGATGAATATAGCTCATTGGTAAGGAACTGACCTACGCGATTTGTGTAAAATGATATTGACACGTTTTGCTCAACATAGAAGTTCCGCATAACCGGCATAATCAGAATTATGTCTTCGATTGTTTCACAGGACTTTCTCCTAGCGACTAGTGTACTGGTTATTGACCTCGACGAAGACTTGGTTTCCGCTTTGCCCGTCGTTACCGATGGGAGGGTGACGGGAGTGTCCCACCTGGAAGCAGGGATGCCAACACGCAAAGAAGTTGTAGCATCGCTACGTTCCTCGTACCATGTCTGGTTAAAGGCAAGCAAAAGATCTCAAGAGGCAAAAAAGGTTGCGGCTGCAGTGAAACTAGTGCTTTCCAAAGTAGGGGAACACGAAAACGACACGCACAGTTCCCCACATTGTAAGTGCTTGTATGAGGATGAGTTACCTATCACGAGTTGACATTTCCAAGCCGTGGATGCTACAACAGCAGAACAGAGCGGTATCTACCCATCACCGGACTTTGTGTTCAATGAGAATATGCCACCACATCAGGTGCCAAATCTATTCACAGCTGGAGAGGACAGTTACAACCACTCTCTTCTCTACGGCCAGATGCCCATGGACCTGGACAGCTTGAACATTCCTCTTGATTGGGTGAGTTTAGGAAATTAGTGTAGAACAAGCTTGGAGCTGACCAATGCCCAGGAAGGTATGATGTCACATCTTGACATCCAGCAGTACAATGATGCTCAACAACGGTCCTTCCAATAATGCAGACTGCCGCAATGATCTCCTCACTTACGCGACAAGGCTTTCGTTCGTTGAATTGTACTCTATGTATATCGGAAGGCAGCAGGTAATATATTTGTATTTTGTAATTGATGCGGGCGGTGTCGTAAAGCAGCCGTAATGATGGCCGCGGCATTTTGGCTCGCCATGGGTGATCATCCGCCATTTGAAACATGTATTGTTTCGCCACGATTTACGATCTCGCGGAGAACAAAACTTTGGTGACCATCATTGCGGATCAGTTTCTATCCGTACGAGAATGCAGGTTGTTTCGACAGAGGCTCAATAGCTCAGGTTCACGAGCTTGGGACATGTGGTAATCACTGCTGGTCTCACCAGCGCAATACGATACCCAGATTCGTCACCGCGCGAAGTACCGAAGATCGCCTACGTTGCCTGCATCGTATTTGGATCGAGATTTCGACAATCAGGACGCAAAAGCAACCAAATGCGGGATGGCGGATCCCTTGCTTGTAGAATGCCATGCCGCTGATCCACACATCGGTCATGCAATCCTGCACCCGCAGCAACTCAACTACGGTTATCCATGTACTTCAAACATGAGAATGATGATTTTCCGGTAATGCAGCCGTTACGTCATATCTACCGTCTATTGGGTCGATTGTACATAGGTTGCCACTCTGGATCAAATCGCATTGCATTCGCTATGGGCCGTTGCTCACCCTCGTTTGCCACTATCAGCATATTCCATCGTTTATTATACCACTAGCACTTTTCAAGCAAGATGATGACACAGATGGAAATCATGCAGGAGCTTAATGGGATCCGGTATTCCAAAGAGGTGCTGTGTATCGAGCCTGATCTGGGAGATTTGCGAAAGTCGACTGACAAAGCGCTGCCGGGACTACCGAAAACACCAAAGAGGGTCTTGAAGAAATACCGGTTCTCTGCAGTATTTCCTATGGTACTAGCAATTGTGAGTTTCGTCTTGACCTTGACATTGGCTCTGGCGGGGCACGACGCACACACCTTTGGCGGGCAATATTTGGCAGCAGTAAGTTATCACCGGTAATGTCAGGCAGCATACAGGCTCACGGCTGTAGCTATATCTTCCCAAAGAGGGCCAAGTCCCAGTATACCAAGATGTGAAAGCTCTAGAGTCGTCTTCAGCCGTGGATACGACGGAAACGGGAAATGTTTACCATCTCTACTTGCACAAAGTCTGCTATTGTTCTCTCGCCGATGGCAGCAAAGTCGCTTCCGACATCTCTGAAAGGACATGTAAGGGCTATGCCGTAGTAGCTGCAGGTGCGCGAACATTCCTTCTGAATATCTGTTGTACTCGCTGATCAGGTCACCCAGAATTGGCAATGGCAGCCTCTTCAAGCGACACGTCAGCGGCAAACTCCGAGTCTATGAGTTTAGGCAGTAGATTACTTATCATGGTCTCGACCACTTTGGCTAGCGTGCGAATAGCTGTTTTTGCATCACTCATTGTCTCGCTTGTTGGAGCCCTTTTGTCTGCGATATTGGCGATTCCAGGGATCATCTATCCACACTCTCGAATCCTAGCCTATATGAATATCATGTGGCCACTCCTCGCAAGCACGTTTACTTTCCTCGCGGCCACCCTGCTTACCATCGTGATAGCTGGGGTGTTTGTAGCGGTCGACGGGGTCGTTGATGAGGTTGGCATCGAGGTCAGGCAGGGAGGATCAGTGTTGTTTCTCGCATGGTTGGCATGGGTCTTCATTTCGTTGTCGGTTGTTTATTGGGGGCTCGTGTGGTTTGTGGAGGTGCGGAGATGGGGTTTTGCAAGGAGAAAAAGGAGTGAGGAAGAAGTGGGGAATTGGAAAGGGATAGGGCGGGAGGTCTGGTCCGATCTCAAGAGGGAAGAAACATATCATTGATTAACGTAGTTTATAAGCGAGTCGGTCATACAAGCGAGTCGGTCACCCCACCAACTTTACGCACCTCTGCAGGCGTATATCTTAACAACATAATCGTATAATATATATAGATTAATAGAGTAGATTAAGTAGTATCTAGAGCTTCTTTCTTACATATGCGCGAGTTATGGCTAGTCTCTCTACACCTACTACAGCGCGCTAGAGCCTAGCGGCTAACACCTAATCGCTCTCCTCCTTAACGCTCTTTATAAGTAATCTGCTAATCGGCCTCGCGCTAAGTAAGTAGATCCTCTCTAGCTCCCTTTATTAGCACTCCTTACTTCTATATCTACTTTCTTTTATACTGCCTATACTTCGTTGCTACCTTATTAGCCCTTTGTTACAAGTAACAAGAAGGATTCTCTCCTTGACAAATGACGAGATGGCTGAAGGCCTATGGACGTCCACGTCA